AAAGAATATTGTCGAGAGTGATTTCGCCAAAAAAAAAGCTGTTAAAAAAAACACTCACCACATCGGCTTTTGTAATTTGAAGTGGCATGGTGTACAGCACTGCAAACTTTGTAGTAGTTGTCATTTGGTTAAAAAAAAAAAGCTTCTCTTCACTCTGCACTTTTTACTTGTGCCACTTCAAACAACAGGTAAGAAAAAAAAAGCTGGAATGCCAGCTCTTTTATTTCTTCCATAAAAAGGTCCTTTAAATGACCAAACGACACTGAAAATTCAAGTAAAAACCTTTCAGTGTCGGTTGGTTATAAACGAAGTTTCTTGTAATAAAACGCTCTTCTCACTCGTCGCTTGTTATAACCTGTTGCCTTCATACAACAGAAAAAAAAGAAAGTAAAAGAATTCGCTCTCCTGTGGCGAGCGGAACAGTTCTATTTCTTTCTCGTGAAGCTGCATGATGTATTGATTGTTTTGGTAAGGTTAAATGGCATTTTTCGTAGTATAGTCAGATACAACTTAAGACCAGGGCGAGGGAAACGAAGGCTGGCAAGGAGGAAACAGGCTGGACGGTGAATAAGGGAAACGGAAACCTCTCCTCCTCCCTACGTTCCATCGGCTTCCTTTTCAACAGCCTTCGTTTCCCTCGCCCTGCTCTTAAGTTGTATCTGTCTATAGCGTTAACTGCCAATTTTGGCAGTAGTAGCACAAAAGTCAAGCATTTTAAAGGACTGAAAGGGACATTTCAGTGTCATTTAAATAATAAAAAAAAAAGCTTCACTCCGCACGGCTTCGTTTCTTCTGCAAGGCTGCGTTGTTACACTTTCGCCACAGGAAGGACCGCACGGTTATAACATTTTCACCCTTGAACTTGCCCATGATGTGAGCTGGAAAGAAATAACATTATTAAAGCTACTTTGATAATATAGTTCAAGTAAACCAGAGAACTTCTACTTTACAAATCCTCGTGTCACTCTTCCACTGATGTTCCGAAAAATGACATCCCAAAGGTGACCACGTGGGCCTCCACATTGAGGGGGGCAAACAGTATCCCCTTTCAGGCCACTCAGGTAACAAACCTACAATGAGCACAAAACAACCGGCAATGATTCTTCCAACATCAATTTTTACTTTATGCAGCTGCTGCATAGGACAAGGTGCAAAAGGTAAATTCTAGACCAGGGGTTTTCTAACAATATATATCTTGAACACTCATTTCTCTTGGGGGATATCACGGCCGGCTTGCTGAAACAAGCGTCTCAGCTGAGTCTGGATGAAAGAATGCCCACCACGGCTAGCACAAGTGCGAAGTGGAAGACTCGGTTTAGACCTAGGCACCCGTGAGCTTCAGGCTTGACAGGCTTTCTTTCACTCAGTCTCAGGTGAGACACTGATTCAAGCAAGCCATGAAGAACTTTGCTCTCAGCATTGTGGCAGTAAAACGGTGCGGAGGCATATACACCTTGTAAGAAATAACAATTAAAGGAGTACTGAATAAATTTTGAGGCCCATTTTTTTAGAATATAGCGGTGCAGTTAAAATACATTTTAATGTTGCAGATGACAAAATTGCTTACTATGCATGTGAGAAACGGGAATATGTGAATACGTTTTTTTCCTTGCCTTCTTCAACAGAAGTAACGTGTCTGCTTCCCAGTCACACTAATATGATAACAGACGATCTGTCATGTCTCCCAAGCTCGCATGTGGGTCACATATGACAAAACACCATAGATGGAGAAAGGGGAAAGAGGAGGTCCGGGCCCTTCGGGCCACACCCCTGGCTACGTGTTTGGTGTTTGGACGAACCGAAAAAAAAATAATATCGCATTTGAAGAAAGCTTATCGAGTCACAGGGTGCCCCCCAGCCCCCGTCTGATAACGTCGGAAAGGCTCCTCTCCCATCCTGCACACAGTACCAGCTGAGCTGAGAACAGCGTTTGAGCCAAGCGTTTAACTTCAGCGAAGCAGGCGATAGACGCGCAAGCCACCGCGGTCATTACGTCATGGCGCTGATAGTGTGGGGCAGTCTACGGCCCGGCATTCACCTTCAAATCAAAGACCGGGTGTACACCAGTCATTGCAAAACTTTAACTCAGTATATTCCAAAGCTTTCAACTTCTGCTGCCTTTGCGGACTGCACATTCACATTCTGTTACTCTTAAACACACAAGACGTCAAAAGGTATTTATTGGGAAGCCTTTAAAAACCTAAGACCTCCAAACATGTTAAAATCTAACATACGAGTTCTGATACGCCTCCCTGGTGCGCTGGGGATGCTGAGACAACCGGCTGCTGCAGGGCTCTCACGAGACGGAGAAGCTGTGGCACAAAAAAAAACAATTGACAGAAATGCTGAGCAGCAGGCATGCTGGAATATTACTGCTGACTATCATTATCCCACTAAAGTGTGCTCCACTGCAAAATGCACAAGCCACACGAGGAAGCAAATCTGTATTCCAGCAACTAGCACAACTCTCTCCTCAGCACCGCCGCAAAGTACAGAACACGGCATGTCATGTCGCGAGACGTCCTCCCCCTACCCCCCCGCCCCCGCCCCCCCCCCCCCCCCCCCAAAAAAAAAGAGATACGTCAAGCAGACTGATGTGAAGTCAAACTGGAGTTTGCTACGCACCATCACCTGCACACGTTCTGTTTCTGAGCTTGTTTATAACTACCATTATGTGAAACTGTTGAGGCATCTGGCAATGTTATTTGACTGGGACAGAACACAGAACGATTCAATTGAGGCAACGACAGCATGGGTAGTTGGTAGAAACACATGAAGGTGAGCGGCATTGGAGTGCTGTTAAACACGAAGAAACAAGCTGGGTCGCAAAGCTAGGTCATGGCACACCCGTCCGCATACCATCTGTCACGGCTGCTTTAGCTTCTCGCGTCGAGGCACAGCCACCAGTATATTTCGGTCATTACGCAGTCATTTCAGCTTTCATTATCCACAACTGGAGACGACCCCTAACATGGTCAAGGGCCGAGGATAAAAGGAACCAACCTACTAACCTTTGTGTAAATGTGATAAAAAAAAGAAACTTTTTTTTTTAAATACGAAAACAGGCTTTCAGCTTAAAAGCTACGGAATAAAAATCCTCAAGCTTCCAAGAACAGACAGACACAACATCTGGTTCTTCAAAAAATTAGAAATCAACTAACTTCTTATACTACGAGCCCAAAGCAAATCAGTCTATTTCAACACATTTCCATGCTTTATAATTGTTATTGATTACTTCTGCTTAAACTTGTGGTCATTTCTTTCGTTGAGACCTCTTTCAGAAGAGAATTATAATAGAGGCACCAAATTCTTTCATAAAGCTTTTCACATTTATAGATGCAGATTCTTATCTTTATGAAGCGTTTACGACAAAACCTTGCATTAACGACCGGTTGAACTTAGCATAAACGTTGCAGAAAAATAAGGATCTGTCTTTAGCTGTGTCAAAACACATAACCTAGTATAAAAAATGTGTGCCCTTATGGAACACTACTGAAATGGTTTTGACTAAAGAGAATGACCACCACTGTATACTGACAGAATCAATAACAATGATGAAACCTAGAAATCTGTGGAATGCCTTTCCTGTGTTTCGTTATCGAGTGACGCAGTGTCTTGGCCTATATTGATTTCAGAAACAAGTGTGCTGCCTGGCTGTCTTTGAAAGCGATGCTGTACATGATAATTTTTACTTCCTAGGTTGAAAGACCAAGGACATTCCCTGTTGTTTATTTAATCACATCTACCCAGACGCTAGTATGTTGCTCCTTTGCGTTCACTGTCCTTGTGTGTGTTAGGGGTTGTGAACAGTATAACGCTGTACGGTCCTTGAAGAAATTTCCTTTGTAGAGTAGTGGGTAAACAGAACAGAAATTGTGAAGTGTGTCTTCGTGTCTTCCCGTTTCCGCTTTTGGGTCTCCCATTAATTTTTTGTTCATTAGAACTCCGCTGTGTGTGACACTTCTCTGTGTTTTTTTTTTCATCCTGTGAAGAACCCGTCTTGAATAATTTTATCTTGTCTAGCCTGTACTTGCTAGCTTGCACCAGGCACGCATCCAGGATGGGGGCCATGGTCGCCCCCCCCCCCCTCCCCGAAGTCTTTCATTTTCCTGGGACCTCCTTTCCTCCATCTCCCTTATATAGCATCTTGTCATGGGCGCTGCCGAATCAAAATCCTGTCTACGGGCCTAGCTTCAACCCGTTCTTTTGTTTGTTCGTTACTGTAAAATTCAACTGTAGGCGCAGGGTTAATACAAAGGAAAAAATAGCGACATACTTTTGTTGGGTAGTGCCGATTATTGGACCTGTTAGTATACAATTATTAAAAACAAATTGTGAAGAATATGGGAACAGAGGATACGAACACCCTCCCAAACACAGCACTGTGTTCATCTCCTCCTTCTTGTCTGTGCGATTGCCATTCTTTGTTTGTTATAATAATACAATTTTGATGATTTTTTGTTTGGTATCATTTTTATATGGGTTCACTGTAATGACCCACTTGCCATTGCATTCACTTTGGGGGCAGCTTCCTCCCTCCTTATGGTGCCATCGTTGAGAACGTGCAGGGTGGGCGTCACTCTTACCCTCGTGGTGCAGTTCCCCAGGTTCCCATAGGGTGCATGTTGCCAGCCAAACTGAGTCAGGCCTGCCAGCCCTGCGGGAAATGTCAATTGCACTCTTTTAGATGTACATACCAACGTTTTGCGTGTACCTGAAGAAAGCTCTAACAGAAGAGAAACAATATTTGGTCCTTTTTGAATGCATATTCTTTCTCTGAGGACATACATGAACGTTACACGCTATTGTACATTTAGTGGTTATCAATCAATCAATCAATCAATCAGCGTTTATTTCAGCTTGAAATACAAACTGAGGGTGGCAAGAAAAAAGCAGTGTCATCCACTGCTTGACGGGCCTCGCCACCCTTACAAGTCAGCAGTGTAAACGCGGTAAAAAATAATATATATATACAAAATGAACAATACAGACAAAATGAGAAGTACAGACAAATTATAGAAAAGCGTTCCTAAGGACAGAAGAAGACATACCATTCAAGTGATCACATAGAGGAGTATTCAAAAACTTAGGCAAGATATATCGCAACATTGTAAAGCCATAGTTCGTTCTACATCTAGGTAAAACAAAGCTGTCTTTTTCCCTGGTTGCATAAGGCGTATTGTGGGGCACAGTAGAAACAATACGTGAAAGAAAATTATCGTTTTTAGCTATACTATTTTTGTAAAAACACGCGAATCTATATTCAAATAAATTATATACAGGCACAATTTTAAACTGCGAGTAAGCCTGCCCGGTTGGGGAATTATATGGAGCTTTTGTAATAGCACGTAGCATTTTCTTTTGCAAGATCAGAAGCTTCTGAATATTGGATGTTGTGGTATTACCCCAGACAAGAAAACAATAGCTTAAATATGAATAAAAGAAAGCGTAATACAAAGTAAGTTTAGTTTTTTCAGGTAGAACGTACTTATTACGCGAGGTTATTCCTACAACCTTAGAAAGGGCAAGACAAACCTCGTTTATGTGGGCGTCCCATGTCATCGTTGCGGTAAAAATTACACCGAGGGATCTAAACGTTTCTACATACTCGATAATGGTGTCACTCAAAACTAAAGGCGGTGGGTGCATTACAAGCTTTCCTTTAGGACGAAATATTACAGCTTTAGTTTTTTCTTTGTTGATTTTCAATGAGTTGACTAATGACCACCGTGATAATAATGCCAATACTCGGTTAGCAGTGCCAGTTAGTTGTTCAACGTCAGAGGAGGAAAAGAAAAGGCTCGTATCATCAGCGTAAATAACGTACTTTGCAAGGGTACTAATATTGGAAATGTCATTTATATATATATTAAACAAGAGTGGTCCAAGGATGCTACCCTGAGGGACACCATTAAAAATTTGAAGGGAATCGGAGCGAGAGTGGTTTATTACAACATATTGTAATCGTGAGCTTAAATATGATTTTATAAGGTTGAGGGCGTGTCCTCGTACGCCGTAGTGCTCGAGCTTAGCGATAAGTATTTTATGATTTACAGTATCGAATGCCTTACTAAAGTCAATAAAAATGCTAAGAGTAAGACGTTGTGATTCAAAATTGTTCAAAATATATTCTTTTTGGGCAAGCAAGGCGTGTTCCGTTGATCTATTTTTAGTAAACCCATATTGGCAATCGGATATTACAGAATGCTTTAAGAAGAAATGATTGAGGCGGCGATGAATTATTCGTTCTAACCCTTTAGAAAAAAACGGAAGTATAGATATTGGTCTATAGTTACCGACTAGACTATAGTTATAATGAACATTTTTTCTTATATAACTTCGAGCTTTTAGAGTAAAGATTCAATATAATGCGTAGGACATAAATGGTTGCTATGAACTATCCTGTACATATACACATTACCTGATATCATAAAAGCGCTAGAGCAGGGTAGGGCTGTACTGCATCAATTACAAATTTGTAACCAATTTAAAGTTGGCATTTATTTATTACTATTGGCTATTATTCTTTGAGAGAAAAAATACCTGGGCGAGTTGGTACGTTGGTGGTCTTTCAGCTCCATCAAAAATTCAGGTCCTTTTCAAATTTTTTCATGCTTTTGCTTTTTCTAACTGCTCTGCTGTTTATAGCGGCTTTCGCCGCCACTAAAAAACGTGACAACCAAACTCACTTTATTTACATCATGCAATCGTAAAATTCGAAAGCGTGTCGCTTCGGCATAAGATAAGAGATTGCGCGTCTCTGCGGCACAGGAATCAGCATAGGCAAGGAATCATGCTGCTCGCTCTTGTAACGTTTGTTTCGCTCCCGCTTTATGAAACAAATCGGTGGCTTGAGGTTGTTGGGACCACACGTCAGAAATACTATGACCTGTGATTGCTTGAACTGCCGTCAGTCTGAACTTGAACGCTCCGCAAAAGCGTCTTCTCACGAGCGCCGTAGAGCGGCGCCCAGGACTGTCTTTCGGTTCCGCCGCACGCGTATCTTTCTCACTCTTTGGAGCGAGCCATAGATTTTCAAGAAGGTACGCTTTTTTCAAATACCGAAATAACGCCGGCCAGAAGCATTGTTAGAATCAAGCATGACTTAGCAAGCAGATGGTACACGACAAAGTTTGAAACAGTGGCGCACTTCGCAGAAACCAAAATAACATTGCTCACCGCTAGTCGCAGCAGTAGTCGATCGTTTGCTGTCCGCAACTGGCGTTGGTAAGACGCAGCGCCTCCCAGCTCTCAGTCCACAAAATTATTATAATGTACAATGGCCCAATTTTTCAACAATATCAAGCGAGCGTCGACCACCGGGACGGCGAGCGCCGTGCCGCGGAGGCGTGCGGCGATACGGGAGGGATGAGGCGCGTGCGCACAGAGCCCTTTCTGGTGGGAGAGTCGTCTGCTAGGCTATCCCGTTGATTGAACACATCCCCGGCTCCGTAGCAAAGGAGGGCAGGACACTGGCAATGTCGAAGTGCATCGCCGATACCTCTTGAACGCATTCCTCTTGGAATGCGTTCACAATCCTATTGACGGCAAACATGTACAAATTACTCAAAAAAGGTAGTTAAGTTAAGTTACTGAGTATCGACGCCAAAAGTAATTGGAGTAGAGTAGAAGTTACGCATTTGGAATAGTAATTGAGTAAACTACTAACTACTGCGAAAAAGTAGCCAGTTACTTTTAAGTTACTTTCGAAGTTACTTTTTATATTTTTGTGGCAGCAAAAGGAACAGCAGTTTTGATCAGTGAAAAACCCTGCGAGACTGAAATAAAAGCAGTCATTTTATGACTTCCAAAATAGTTTATTCGCTCGCAGAAGCAATTGTCTTTCAAAGTTGTTATCGGGGGGTTTTCCCCTTTTCCTTCTAATGACGTATTCAGTCAAGCTAAACAGACGTTCAACCGTGGCGCTGGATGCCAAGGCAGCGTTCAATTTCAGAAGCAGGCTGTGCAGGCTTGGGTAAGCGAGTGTCGGCATCTTTGGTGTCCATGACGAAACATGTGAGTCTTGCCTCGGCTAGAGGGTCCTTTATAACAAACTCTCCTCCTCCTTCATTTTTTTATTCGGCAAGTTGAGTTTGTTATGCCTGGCCCCTCTTTATTCACACGAAGTTCGGAGAGTTGGTCGAGCGAGTGTACCAGACCGTCAAGAGATCAAGTCTCGCGCCACGACGATGGGATCAGCCGAATAACTAAACGTCTCGTTGCAATGTTAATGCTACACCACTGAGAAAAAAAAAGAATGCTTTTCGCCGCTGAAGTTAGGTCCAACAGAAGGATCTCCCAAGGGTGACAAGTACAACCTTTTCAACAAAAGGGAGGTCTCCCTGGCGTGAAAGGTCGGAAGGACGTGAAGGATTACTTGAACAAGCGGGAAGCGGGAACGTGCTCCCATGAACGGATTATCCGTGTCTGCGTTTGTGCGCGGGGGAGTCCGGCTTCGGAAGGAGGCATGCGCTGACGACGAGGCGACCATGAGAACAGGCGCCCAGCTGTGGTCATTCTAGTGGTTCCCACCATGGAGCCTACCACTTGAGTCAGAACTCACCAAAGGCACACAACATGAAAACAACAACAATCCTCGGAGTGTCCCCGTCTTTCACGGTTGCAGCTGGGGGCGCGGCGCCTGCGTGGATTACCGGATGAGGTCAATTCCCGACCAAGGTTTGTTATAAGCATCTCTGCCGGCGTTCGTGCGCGCCGGTGTAATGTTTTGGCTGCTCGTCGCCACCTTGACCCCAGGACGCCTGTGATGCAGTTTCTACAGCTGCCAAGAATAAGTGCGTGGGAACGGAATGTGAGGGGGCCCCTTGTTCGGGTATAACACTTAATCTGCCAGCGTCTTATTTATTTCTGCGCTCAAACTTTTGTTATGAAAAAAGTAGGATTAGATTTCAAAATTAGTTAGTTATTTGAGTACAAGTTACGTGGAAAACGTAGTTAAAGTGAACTACTAATTACCGAAATAAAGTTGTAATTGAAAGTTACCAAGTTACTCGAAAAAGTAGCTAAACTACAGTAGTTTCAGTAGAGAAGTTGAACTACGTCCAAGTCTGATTGACGGTAGCCTGTGTAGCCCCGACTGTTGTTGCTATATCCCTTTGCGTCAAGCCGCCCATCGACATTCTCACAGCACGTTCCCGTGTTTGTAAAGGCACTCGAGGGGGCAAAAAAATGTGCGCGCGTCCGCTGATCAAAGAAAAGTGCGACTACCCGGCTACATAACCTAGATGACGACAGCAACAACGCAGCTAATAATACAAAACACTAAGCGGAAACCTTGTCTATACTCCGTTCCACTTTGTGATGTACCGCAGCCGACGGTACGAGCCATCTTGACCAGTCCATCGCTAAAAGTGTGTCATGACTCATGTGGCTTTCCCGTTGGGTACAACCGCAGGCAACCGCGCGTGGAAGCACGATGTATCGTGGCAGGGTGAAAGCACTCGATTTGTTTTGATGGCTCGTAGCATTTCCTGCGGTATATAGCTTGACGCATCGTTGCATTCAGTTTGCCACGTCACCGTATTTTTTGTTGTTTTTTTTTTTTGTTTCAGAAATGTAAACGCAGACATAAAATAAAAAGAAAGTAAATTAAACTCGAGATGACGCGCGGTTTATGCCACGCCTGAGCAGTTTCGCGCAAGCAAGCTATGCCAGCAGATAATGAACAGGGGCTGTGTGCGGTCAACGGAATAGCCTAGCAGACGATGCTCGCAACGGAAAGAGCTTTGTGCGCAGGCGCCTAATATCTCTCGTGACGCCGCATTTCTCCGTGGCACAGCTCTGGCCGTCCCGGCGGTCGACGCTCGCTTGATATTATTAAAACATTGGGCCACTGTACGCTAGAGGCTCAAGTGGCGCTAGTGTGCTGACGCAAATTGAAGCAAACAGCAACCAGTCGATAATTGTCTTCCGGTAATGCATTTCTATGGGAAAAAGTGATTGCATTTTCATTTCATTCCATTTCATTTATTGACCTCAAATCGCCCGAAGGCATTACATGAGGGGGGAGGAGACAAGCTGACTCTATTCTAATACAAAATACACGCGAATGAGAGAAAAACAAAAGATCAGCACGTACTTAAAAAAAAAAAAAAAAGCATACAGTATGGTGCAACTAACGAAGCAGACGACAGTCAGAGGTAACACAAGCGCATATACCAATAAAGGTAAAACATGCAGGTGGCGTACACGCACAGTACGCAAAAAAAAAAAATATTAGTCATTGAACAAAGTTTCTCCGGCGTCTCTGAAAAGAGCGACGTCCGCTAGACCCGCAACCGATTCAGGTAGACTGTTCCAGTCTTTAATGGCTAATTGAAAAGGCGATTCCGAAAATTGTTTGGTGTGACTAGGTGATAATCTTATCTTGAAGGGATGATCAATCCTAGGAGAAATATGGTACGGAGGGAGCAAAAGTAGTTTCTTGAGTTCCTGGTTGAAGTAGTAGATTTTATGTAAAAATAAAAGCCTCGCCTGTTTACGTCTGCTACTCAATGATTGCAAGCCTGCTCTCGATTTCAGGGCAGTTACACTGGATGAGT